ACTGTGTCTATTCTGTCATCTTAGGGAGGTTTGCTGCTTGTCAGGGCCTCAAATTTGGGACATAGTGGAAAGATTGCCAAAGCTTGTCTATCGCTCAGACATTTAACACTCTGCTGCTCTTCTGTATTGGCACGAACGATGCTACTGGGGAGACCTGGACATTATGAATAGAGTGACTGTATGGCTCTGGGAGTAGTGTTCAAGGCCATGGAGCCCAGGTGGTTTTCTTAATCCTGCCAGTGAGAGGTAGAGGGGTGGACCAATTCTGCCTGCCAACCATTGTGTTTGTGCAGCTGGTTTCAACAACAGGGTTTTGGGTTTTATGGTTGTGGGAACCTCTATGAGGATTGAGGGCTGTTTGGAAGAGATGGCATCCATCTAAGTGGAGCAAAAGCATCTTTGCCAACAGGTTGGCCAAGCTGATTAGGAGAGCTATAAGCCAGGAACGACAAGGGAGGGAAAGTATGATCAGTGATCAAGAAAGGAATTAGTTGATTGGATTGGCAAGCAAGCAATGCACATCAGTAAGGAACTGTGTACATCACAGCATTGTAAGGAAAGCTCTCATACCATTTCTGGGAAATTAGGGTGACCAGGTGGTTTTCTGAAGTGCCTGTACACTAATGCATACAGCACAAGGAACAAAGAGGAGAAATTAGTGTGCAGTTGCACGGCCACAATCTCATTGGTATGATGACAGAGAAGTGGTGGGACAGCTCATGCAACTATGGTATGGCAAGGGGTAGGTACAGGCTGTTCGGGAAGGACAGTTAGAAATTACAGGCCAGGAGGGTGAGGAGGCAGCATTGCTGTTTGTGAGGGCGCAGCTGGAATGCATGAAACTGCATAGGAATGGATGATGAGCCATTTGAGAGCTTATGGGCCAGGATTAGTGAGCAGACTAACGTTGGCAATGTTGTGGAGAATATCTGCTACGGACCAGCTCATCAAAAAGTGATGAGATGCCTTCTTCAGACAACTGGAGGAAGCCCTATGTTCATGTTTCCTGGGCCTCGGGGCCACCCTGATATCTGCTGGAGGAACAACACAACAGATGACAAGGACTCCTGGAGTTTTCTGAAGTGCATTGATGACAACGTTCTGACACAGCTGATCAAGGAGCCAACTAGGAAAGGGTGCTCTGCTGGACCTCATGCTTACACAGAAGGAAGAACTGGATGTTAACATGAAGGTATGGGGCAGCTTTGGCTTCAGTGACTATCAAATGGCGGGGTTCAGCTCAAGAGCCTGAGAGGATGGAGCAAAGCAAAAAAGCAAGATCGCAATTCTGGCCTTCAGGAGAGTAGACTTTCACCTTTTCAGATTTCTGCTTGGAAGAATCCCAGGGGATATGGTTGTGAAGAGAAGAGAGGCTCAGTAGTGCTGGTTGAGTCATACTTAAGCTGCCTTATAGCCTTCTGTGATGAGACAACTGGCTTGGTGGATCAAGAAAGCCCACTGGATGTTAACTTTAATAAGACTTTTGACACTGTTGTCATGTCATCAGACAAACTCATGAAGTACGGACTAGGTAAGTGGACAGTGTGGTGGATTTAAAACTGACTGAAATGCTATGCTCAGAGGGTTGTGATCACTACCACGATGTCCAGCTGCAGGCCGGTCACTAACATCCTCATTAATGACCTAGATGGGAGAGATTTTATACAACCTCAGCAAGTTTACAGATGATACAAAACGGGGAGGAATGAGTGATACACTGGATGGTTGTGCTGCTATTCAGGGGGACCTGGACAGGCTGGAGAATTGGACCGAGAGGAATGTCGTGATGTTCAGCAAGGGAAAAATGTAAAGTCCTGCACCTCAGGAGGAATAAGACCCCGCAGCCAGCTGGAAAGTAGCTTTGCCTAGAAGGACCTTGGAGTCCTGGTGGACAAGGAGGTGACCGTGAGCCAAGAATGTGTCCTCACAACAAAGGCAGGCAGCGGCATCCTGGGCTGCATTAGGAAGAGCATTGTGAGCAGGTCAAGGGAAGCCTTTTTTTCCTGAAGCTGACAGGAGTGAATTAACAACCTCTTTTGTTTTCTTAAACCTCATTCTTCTGGAGTTGAGGTTTCATTGCTGCCTTCTAGAATGTAAGGGCCATGTTATGTTTTATTTGAAAACCAAGGCCATATCTGTTATCCCCAAAGTTGTTGTTGTTGTTCTTCCGTTCATTTCTGAATGAATGGTTGTCCTCACTTAGTCCCTAAAACGGATACTAGTCCTGTTAGAGGCCATTGGGCAATCCAGGTGAAGCAGTGGTTAGTTACTGGAGTGTTTTTAAGCGTAATGTGCTAATACTAATAGAACATCTAGGGGCATCTCTGCTCCTCAGGGTTGTACTGAGCTCTTTATGTGAATGAACCCAAGATGCACCTTCAGATCACTGTTAATGTATAGAGCTTGGAATTGATTCAAACTTGTATAGATGTACGAACTGTCATTTGAACATAGGTAGCAGTTACTAAACCTAGAGTTCTTCAGGTGGGATAGTCCATGTGCAAATTCACTTCATACCCTCTTTTCCTTTTCTCTCAAGTCTTGTATCTGTCTAGAGATTGCAGGGTGAGAGGAACTGACAAAGTCTTGGCCAGTGTTGGGAGGATTGTCTGGCATACCTTTTCCTAGTATTGTTAGTTTAGCAAATGCCTTGAGCATTTATGGGGAGAGGCCACTCAGGTCTTGGTGTGGAATGTGTATACGTGGTTAGCCTAAACATCTTAAAACCCCTTTTGCAATTGAACAGCCACTTTTCTACTACTTGAGAATTAATGATGATTCATGATTATACATAAAGAATGAGTGAAATAGTTAAAAAATTAATATCAAAATGCGAAAATTTCATATGAGAAGGCTTGACTACAAATGCTGTTTCTAGTGGTAGATGCATTTGTGCTTAAAAAAAGGAGAGATTGTGGGACTCAGCACCCACTGTACTTCCACAGGTGGACTGACTTTGGCTGGTTGCCAGACTCTTACCCACCCACTCTCTTGTTCCCCCTTCTCAACAGGACAGGGAGAAAATAAGGTGGAAAAGTTTGTGGGCCATGATAAAGACAATGAAATCACTTAGTGATTGCTGTCACAGGCAAAACAGATTCAACTTGTGAAAAAGTAATTTAATTTATTGCCATTAAAAGTAGAGTAGGATGGTGTGGAACAAAGACAAAGCTAAAAACACTGTACCACCACCCACTCCTCCTTCTTCCTAAAGGCTCAACTTCACTCCTTCATCCCCAACTCTTCTACCTCCTTGCTCCCTGGAGCAGCAAAGGGGGTGGGATTGAGAGTAATGGGGGTTGCAGTCAGTTCGTAACATTTCATCGCTGTTGCACCTTTCTCCTCACACTTTTCCCCTTCTCCAATGTGCAGTCCTTCCCACAGGATACCATCCCTTCATGAACTGCTCCAGCATGGGCCTTCTCCATGGGCTGCAGTCCTTCAGGAATAGACTGCTTCAGTGTGGGTCCCCCACGGACCACAGTTTCTGCCAGGAAACTTGCTTCTGCATGGGCTTCTCGCCAAGAGCCACAGCTCCTGCCAGGAGCCTGCTACAGCGTGGGCTTTCCGTGGACTTGCAGCTTCCTTCGGAGTATCTCCCTCTGCTGCAGTGTGGGGTCCTCCACAGACTGCAGTGTGGATATCTGCTCCACTGTGGTCCTCCACAAGCTGCAGGGGGGCAACCCACTTTCGCTGTGGTCTCTGCCATGGATGGCAAGGGAATCTCTGGAGCTCCTTTTTCACTGACCTTAGTGTCTGCAGAGTTGTTTCTCTCACTTCCTTCCCTGCTCCCTCCCCTTTCCTCCCTCCTCACCCCCAAGCAGCTGTGGAGCACTTTGTTACCCTTTCTTTACTATCTCAGAGATGCCACCAGTATCAGTCATGGTCTCAGCTTTGGCCAGCGGTGGGTCTGTTGGAGCTGGGTGGAACCATCTCTGCCTGGCACGGGGCAGCTCCCAGCCTCATCTCGCAGAGCCCACCCCTGCTCTCAGCACCTTACCCTGTGGACCTGACACACTTGCCTTAGGAAGTCTAATACAATACTACTTCTAAGGCAACTGCACATGGCCTGGAACTGAAGTTTGCTTTGACTCTGGTTATTTGTTTGATGCACAAAAACCAGACATGGATGAAAATAGATTCGTGGTGTCATTTGTTTGATGGTAGCCAGGAGTCTCAGCTCTTAAGAAAGTTTGGCTGCATGTGTAAGAAATTTGGTTATGGTGGAGTAAGCATTCATCTTTGTATTCTCAGCCCGTGCTGGTATCTGGTGTCCATAAGAAGTTGAAGTCAGAGCTTTGGAAACCAGAAGCTTTCAGCCTGGAATTTGGAGATCAAGATGTAGATTTGGTGAACTGCAGGAACTGTGCCATAATTTCAGACGTGAAAGTGCGTGACTTCTGGGATGGCTTTGAGATAATATCTAGTAAGTAATATCTATGGCTGACTAGTGTAACTGAGCAGTCTGTCTTGCTACCTTCAACTTCTCCTTTTCCACCTACTTTCTCAAAAAATAAAAAATAGTAATTAAAAAAAAAAATCTGAATAGCTATTAGTCTCATCCGAAGAAGCCAATGCTCCTTAGATGTAGCTCACCCTAGAAAATTCTTTACTGGTGAAGATTAGAGCAGGGCTGCCCAAGAAAACTTTGTCTGTACTAGAGTGTGTTGATGTGTGTTTCTTTAATGTGTCAAAAGATGATCCATTTAATGGGAAACTACTTTTTTTTGGACTTTCCTCAGTGAAATTAATAATCAGTTTACCGTTATTAAGACGGTAAGTGATTTGACTACCCTTACTCTCTTCCAACCTCAACCTTTATTGTAAAACTAAAGGTAACCTGCAGAGCTAAAACATACCGAGGCTTTTGATGCTAAAACTCAGACTTGGAATACATTAACTAAGTAAACTTGACATTGCAAATGGTTTTCATAGTAGATGATCTATGAGTACAAATCCATGTTCGTATGTATTATGAATAGCAATGCTGTATGCATATCTCGTGATAACACATTACTAAATGCTTGAGAAAACCTTCTGTCAAGTGTGGATGTGGAAGCTAGCCAGTTAAAATTCCTGGGGATATAACTGGTCAGATTAAAGAGCTTCTGAAAAGCAGTGTGTGCTATTTTAGATGGTATATACCTAGATCAGAGTGGTCTAATATTTACAGATGTTAGATTTGTAACAAGTCATTGCAACATTGCTGATTTTTAGTGTTGTGTATAAACATTTTCTATATTTCTTGCTATGTACACATAGCAGAAACGGTGCACTGTTGGATGACTTAATGGAATGTTTGTTCAGCAGCAAACAAAATGATAGATTTGTAGACCAAGAATATTCCCTTCCTTAGTCATTTTGCAATCAAAGAGCTCGCAACTTTTAACTTGTTTTTATATGGTTCCAAGTACAGTCTTTTGTATTTTGTACTGTTAAATTCCATACTATTTCTGTTGTTACTCAGAAATAAATGACCTAGAAGGATACAATGGTGTGGTCTTTCTGTGTATTAATGATAATTGGGAAATTCTGCAAACTCTTCACTTTTGTATTAGGGTCATTCATGAAAATAGTAAATTTGTGTGGGTCAAGTTATGTTTGAGAAATGTTATTTGTAGTTTGTCTCCAGACAGATATGCTCCTTTCAGAAAAATCATCTTCTACCTTTCTTCTAGACAATGCCTTTACCACACTTTGTATGAAAAATGTTAGTGACCTAGATTTGAAAACCTAATCACTATTGCTAGTTTCTTTTAAATACATTTTTAGTGTTTTTCAGCCATGTGCAATCCCCAATTTAGAAGAGTATTATTTGCTACCAGTCCAAAGACTTCACACAATAACTCATCTGAAAGCTGTTTGCAAATTATATGATGACTCTGACTTCTCTGCATTACATGAATTTTAGATTTCTCAAACATGTGGCTGGTCTGTCTGTGTGTCCCACGGCCCTGCCCTACACACGAAGTTATGTGTGCTTATTAAGCATTAAGTTATTGAAGAGACACAGAACAGCCACTGAATTTGGAGGTGATATTGAGATAATCCCTTAATTATTCTATGTGACACTTTATTTTAGTTAATTTTAATCTTGTGCTGCTTGCTTTTAATATCTTTGAGTTCTAAGTGGACTTTTGACAGGTCTAATTTTTTTATTTTGACCCTTCTTAGACTTGCTTTTCTTTGCTGCAGATGTTTTCTGGGTTTTGTCTAATTTTATGTGATCTCTCAGATCCATATGTTTTCCTCCAGGTAGCTCTTCACTTTGTCCTTTCTGAATAACGTTCCTACAAGTTCTTCTCCCTGTTTGGAACAAAGATCCTTGAGTTTGAAATCTTGAATATGGAAAGTACTGAAACATCTTTAAATTCAAGTCCTTGAGCTTTTTAGTTCACTTGCCTCTCTGAAATCTGTAGCTCATCAAAAATAATTTTCTTTAAATCAGTCACTTTGGTTTATGTTTCTGCAGATCTTAATTCGATTTCAGTAAAATAATTTTTTTATATTGGGAACTAAGGCTGTCTTCTGTAGCCTGTTGAAACATAACGCAGATGTGATTCACAGGTCTCCAAGTCCTACCTTAGATACGCTCTCTCTTTTGGTGCTGCCAGCAGTTCTGCTACGTCTGGGTAAGATCAGTTGATTTTTGTTTGACTGGCAATCCTTGGTAAGGTAGGAAGTGGTAAAGGGTGTTACTTTCTGGGGAAAAGGGAATGTGAAGGTGTCAGACTGCAGCACATCCTGTTTTCCAACTGATGGCTTCATGTAGCGTTGTGAAGAATCTGGTAGAAGAGTGAACTTTGTTGCTCTAACTGTTATGCTGAGTCTTCTAAGCTGCTGCATGTGCTACTTCTAGATATGCTCTCTTAGCCATTGTAACATCTGAGGCAAAACAGCAGTTGATGCAATCAGTGCTGTCACATCATACATCCACTGTTGCATACGTAATGTCATCTTCCAGTGCTACCAGCTTTCTCTGTTACCAGTCAGGACTTGCATACAACTCTTGAAGTGAAGAACAAATGTTTGAATCGGGCATCCTGCTAATTTGAGTGCCTCCAACAAAGAAGAATTTAAAAAACTAAAGACTGTCTTCCTCAGTAACCACCTGAGATTTAGCTTCTTTGGGTGTGGTGTACCATAGTTTCTTGCTTTGTACTGAGTTTAGGATTGATTTCAGAGCATGAACTAATTACTTTAATTTTTATAGAAGCACCACTCCTCTTGAAATGAAAGATGAAACTCCTTTAGGCTTTGGTAAAAGTAGTAAGGCAGAATGCTTTGGAAAGGCTTGTTTTCAAAGCTGAATAAAAACTATTCTAAAACTTAGCAGCTGTGCAAGATCTGTCAAACTTCTGAGTAGTGAGATATATATATATATATCTATCTTGTTTCATCGTGCTATGGTAATGCTTGGATGCCCAAAGAAAAACCAGGATCCCGTTTGCTGTGCAACGTAAGAGTCTTGGTACAAAAGACTTGCAGCTTAAACAAGGTAATGAGCTGTGGGAAAAAGATACTACATGAAGAAATCTTAATTTGTTTCTTGCAGAACGACTCAGATCAGATGATGGTCAGCCAATGGTACTAAAGTTAAAGGATTGGCCTCCAGGGGAGGACTTTAGAGATATGATGCCTACAAGGTAAGTAAACCTTAGTATCAATGTCTACAGGACTGCTGTAGGCACTACAGGAGGAAAACATGCCTTTGTTCTCTTTTTGCTCTCTAGGTTTGAGGACTTGATGGAAAATCTTCCTCTTCCTGAATATACCAAGAGGGATGGCAGGCTGAATTTGGCTTCTAGACTACCAAGCTACTTTGTCCGTCCTGACTTGGGTCCCAAAATGTACAATGCCTATGGTATGTGAGAACAGTTCTGCAGATGTTGATTTTTGCGACTCTCTATTAAACTTAGGGCATATGCAAGGCTGTGGCATTAATGAAAACTCAGTGCTTATCCTAGAGCACCCTGTCACCTTTTTTCAATTGGTCCTGCGATCTATTTCCTATGCCAGGCCTCTCTCTGTCACATGTGCCCTTTTTTGCCTTGTGGCTTCCAAGAGATGCACATATAAGTTAAGTTTGCAAACAATTATTATTTTATACATATAATAAGCCTAACACTGATACAGGGTTCAAGTTTAAAAAAATAGGCATTTGAGAAATAGGTGTTTGTGAACTTGGGCAAATTGAGCTTATTCAGTATTTAATGGTGTTCAGTGTTTTGGTTTATGTATTATTTGACATGTAAGTTGAGTGAAGAGGGCTGTACTCCAGAAAGCTTATAATGTAATCAAGCAATATATAGAGAGAGTGAGTGCAGCAAGAAGCAAGGTAATCAGTGACAGCAAACTTCTTTGTGCATTGCTAGTTGTTAGCAATGGAAGGAATGAATTAATTTTGTTAGATTTATCTTAAATATCAAAGTTTTCTTTTCGTTTGTAGAGAGAGTGTTGACAGTGTATTTAGCACAGAATGTAACCCTCTACTTTCATCCTTCTTAGATGTATAGATCTTGGTCCAAAGAGAGAAAGTATTAGACTTTGTTTATTTTCAAGTTAAAAAAAAATATTTAGCTAGGTCTGTCTTCAAAACCAGTTTTTTATCTTTTTGCTCTTAGCTGCTTTACAAACAAACTAAAGGGTGGACCTAGATATAAAACCAGTAATTCTGACTATAGTGAATATGAGTAACTTTGCTGGTGTATTAAACGTATTTTGGTTGTAAATATATGGCTTTATTTTCTGAGTATGTGGTGGAAAAAAGTTCTCAATACTGAGGTAAAGTCTTCCAGGTGCTTAGCATTTTAAAGCATTAAGATAGAAAAATCGTGACTGAAGCTTGATTATTAAAGTGATATTCAGTTACCTAAATAAAAGGACTGTTTACAGAAGTTAACCGTGAAGATGTCTTAATCCCTTCAACAGATTTTATGTGTAAAGGACCCTTAAATATTGACTAATTTTTACATTTAAATACCTGTTGTGATTTAGCCCAGCTGGCAACTAAATGCTGCACAGCCACTTATGCAACCTCCCCCACCCCTGGGGAATGGGGAAGAGAATTAAAGGGGAAAAGGGAAGACGACTCATGGTTTGAGATAAGAACAATTTAATAATAATAAAATAAAGATAATAATGATAATATATGAATATATATGTATAATGATACTAATATATACAAACAAGTGATGCACAGTGTAATTGCTCATCACCCAGTGACCAATGCCTGCCTGGTCCTAGTAAACTATTCTGAAACAGGTAAGTCCTGACACCGTAATCCTGGATGAGCGAGAGGCCTGAAAAAGACAATGAGAGCGAGAGCAGTCTGATAGTGAGAGCTCCCAGATGTGCAAGAACCCTTCTTCCTGGTCAACCCTCATCTATATACTGGGCATGATGCTGCATGATACAGAATGCTCCTTTGATCAGTTTGGCCCTCAATCTTAAATCTAAGTTTAAATCATAAAAGGAGTTGAGGACCCTTTGTCCTGGCTGTGCTCCCCCCTCATCCTGTTGTGCTCCTGCACGCTGGCAAAACATGAGAAGCTGAATAGTCCTTGAGACCTCAGTGCCAACTATAAACATCAGTGCGCTGTCAGTGTTCTCATAACTAGCCCCAGACTAAAACCAAAACACAGAGCTCTTCTAGCTGCTAAAAAGAACTAACTCTGTCCCAGTCAAAACCAGGATAATATTTGAATTAACATAAGACGTGCTGTTGATGTTGTATTTGTATTTCACAGCATACTCTGTGTGACTTGGACGACTGTCAAATAATTAAGGAAAGAATGACGCTTCTTAAATTATATCCTGCTGCATCTAGCGAAGCACAGTTTTGGGATGGAGGTTGTAAGGGCCCTTACTTGCGGTCAATAATTAACCTATCTTTTATGAATTTGTCTGGCTTGTTTTTTGAACCTATATATTATTTTTATCCATGTTTGCCTTTCAGTTGTGCTTTCTTAAAAGTTCATGTTACAAACGTTCTAAATTAGCTACTGTTTCTTTTCTGTTATGATAGGTACTGTACAGTGAGTTGAGTTCCTGTCCTCAGAAGCTTCTATTTTGAGTAGAAAAGAGATAAATGTGATGGTGATCCTAAAACATAACCAGTAGTCTTGTGGGTCATACTTACGTTAGTGTTTGCTGATACAAAGATTTTTTTAGTCTTTTAATTTTTTTGTGCATGTTACTTGCTAGAAGAGATGGTAAAGCAAAAGTAGGGAGAGAGAGTGCTATTGAAGGGTCAGAGGAAGAGAGGATAATGTGTTATATAAGAAGGTGAAAAACATTTGAAATCTTTCTCCATTACTCATAGCCACTTGAGAGGGCTAAGATCATCCAGTGTATAAAGGTATAAGCACTTGAGAGTCTGCAGGTGTTTTTCCTTGATTGTAATCTGAATTGTTAATGATGAGTTGGACAAAACTGCTGTGAATTCAACTGATCACATGGATTTTACAGCTGAGTATGAGGAAATAATGAACTGCTGGAGGCTTATACTTGTAACAGCCTAATGACTTGTTGCACACAGTATGATGCAAATGCCGTTTAGAGCAGTCGGGTTTTCTCTTGTACCTCCAAGCAAAGGAAAACTGTGCTAAAGAATGCCTACTAACTTTGTATTATGAAAGCTAAGTTCTGTGCTACAGACTGTATAAATGGCCCTCAGAGAGGCAAAATTGTAAAGTAAAAGTTCAGGCTTTGTTTTTAAATGCTTGTTTTCTCATGAGTTGAGTGAACTATATTTGCTACTTCTAGTTTCTGTGAAATAAAAATAAAACCCTTTGACACTGGTTTCTGTGCTCATTGCTGTGTACAGTTAGCATTCTAGAAAGATCTTTCAGGCAGGTTATTTCTTTAAGAGCTTAAATAGAATTTTATTTTTTTTTACACTCTATTATAGGCTTAATTACTGCAGAAGACAGACGAGTTGGTACCACAAACCTGCACTTGGATGTTTCTGATGCTGTTAATGTCATGGTGTATGTTGGGATTCCCATTGGGGAAGGGACCCATGATGATGGTAACGTTTGAGGAAAGCTGTTTTCTGTCCTTAAAAAATCAATTGTATGTGTGAGAAATAAGATTGTACCATTTATTGTTTAAGCTTGTCATATCTATGAGATATAACCCAAATATACTAGGCAGTTTGCTACTTGTATTTAAAAGTGCAGCACATATTTAAAAGTGCAGTAGTGCTTCACTGGTTCCCAACTGTGGAAGCAGCAGAGTTCTGCTAGAAATTAAATACCTCCCTGAAGAAAGGAGGAGAAAGGGTGGTAAGTTACTCTTTCTTGTCCTTGTATTTGAATGATTGTAGTCAGTTCAGTTTGAATTCATAACTGAGCTTTGTTATTAGCATTCAATTGACACGTTCCTGAATTTTGTTAAGATTAAGCTTGATGTGCTTAGAAAGGGCACTGTATGATGCAGCAGTTGCAGTAGCACTGTGACTGGATTTAGGGGCTCAAAATGCTCCTTCCTCTTCTATATGTCAAAAGTCAGCTTCGTAATCATATCGCTTTTATGTGGATTCCCCTTTCAGAGGTTCTGAAAACAATTGACGAGGGAGATGCTGATGATGTAACAAAGCAGCGAATCCACGAAGGAAGAGAGAAGCCTGGAGCATTGTGGCACATCTATGCTGCCAAGGATGCTGAAAAGATACGGGAACTTCTTCGGAAGGTATGTTGGTTACAAAGGAGGCTTGAGCCTACAGGATTCCTTGACTAGCTTGCTTACAACAGCTAAATGATATAAATTGCTGTCAACATCAAGTGCATAAGTATTCTAATGCTACCTTTGAGGACATTAATAGTTATTATGTTCCCAGATTTTCAACCTGGTCTAGAATTTTCATACTAATGCACGTTACTAGTTAAGATCTAAATGAGCCAAATAAAAGTAATGTCCTACTTTGAAATAGTGTTTGTTGTATTTTTTAGTAGAGAGCTTTTTGTGAGCCAGCAATATGAAGGTGCTGTGTCATGGTTTCCCCCCCACCCTGTATCTTGGCCCTAGGTTGGAGAAGAACAAGGCCAAGAGAATCCCCCAGATCATGACCCCATTCATGACCAAAGTTGGTACTTGGACCAGACCTTACGTAAGCGACTCTATGATGAGTATGGTGTACAAGGCTGGGCCATAGTGCAGTTCCTTGGAGATGCTGTGTTCATTCCTGCAGGTGCTCCCCATCAGGTAAGTGTGCCAACTCTAGGCCATATTGACAAATGGAACTGAATTTGAGGCACAACAGAACTGTGACTTCAAAAAAAAATGTTAGTTAATATTGCTGGCTTAGGTTGCGTTTTCTATGTAAGCAGTTCTTACAGGAACTATTTGAATTGGATCTTGGATTTTAGTAAAAATTATATAAATACCTGAATGATGTGTTCAGTACTGGAATTAAGAAAAATAAAATTAGGGTGAATGGTGAGAAAACATTTCGATGTAGTGAAACTTCAGCTAAGGGAAGAGAATTCTAAAAAAGTCTGGAGAACAGTAGAGAACTTGCTTTAGGGAACACTAGTGTGTGCTGGAGAATAGGGAATGTGTGAGATGTCGTATATTTTGTTCTGTTTTTACCATTAGACACAATTCTGTTTGAGATCAAATAGGATTTCGTTCCTGTTTCTGATAAGTAAATGTGGAAGAACCTAACATATGTGGTGGTAGGGTTTTTTGGGTTTTGTATGGTTCACTCAATTTTGATGTATCTGTCATTTGATATGGGTATTTTTAGGTCCATAATTTGTACAGCTGCATTAAAGTGGCAGAGGATTTTGTATCTCCAGAACATGTGAAGCACTGCTTCCGACTGACCCAGGAGTTCAGGCACCTGTCTAATACTCATACAAACCATGAGGATAAACTGCAGGTAACTGTTCTTTGACTGTAGTCGCTAAGGTATATCCCATGCTTTGCCAGCTTCGTTCAGTACAAGAAATGTGTGGCTAATTATTTAAGAAAAAAATAACAACTTTCCGCAACTTCAGAGGTTCTCATTTAATAGATACTTAAGAAGTAATTAATCCATCTATGTCTACATTATTATGTAAACAAAAATTAGTAATAAACTCTCCCGCTATTGGACTAGTGCATGTGTCAGTATTAATAAGCTTTTAAATGGCTGAATGCTGAATGACAGTGAAGCACAGCAGGAAAAAAAAAAAATCAAAAAGGAAAAAGCAGCTATATATCTGAAGATAGATGTTTATTTGACCAAGGACACTTGTATTTGTTTCTTTATTGCCTAAAGAAAAAATGCTCTGAAAGTGAAGGCTTGCTGATTTGAATCAGTGATATGGTTTAGTGATGGACTTGGCAGAGTTAGGTTTACAGTTGAACTTGATCTTAAAGCTCTTTTCCAACCTAAATGATTCTGTAATTCTAAATTAGTCCCAAACAGGAAAATATAATGTGCTTTGGTTTGAAGAAATGTGACTGCTTAAACTAATAGTTATGAACAGAACATACTATGTGCTGAAGTAGTATTATCGCATATGAGACAGTAAGTTCTATAGACAGCAGACCACAGGAGACCTTTTTTGATTTCACCTAGGTATGCTTCTGAAGAGGTAGTATCTGTTTAGTTTGCAAATTTTTTATTAGTTTGCAGCACTTTTTATGTATTGGTAATCTCATGCATGTGAAATGAAGGATGGTGGAGATGTGCAGAATGGCTGTGCTTGTAAAAGTGAGTTCTTGATATATAGCCATTCTCCAGTCTGTCTCGCAAGAATGTCGTAACTTATGTTAATTCTCTCAAACAATTCAGTGAAAAATTGCTGTAAATTTCTATATGGATTTGCACAGGATTTTAAAGGAAAGCAGAAGTAGGATTAACTCTCATTGTGGGGATCCAGTTTCTAACACTGTACCTCTTCAGCTGGTACAGTGTTAAAACTGGTACAGTTTAAAAAGTTAACTGGTTTAAAGTTACAGTTTACAGTTAACTGGTACAGTTTAAAAAAAAAAAAAGTAACTGCTGGCAAAGTGAAACTCAATACTCCTGTGAAAAGAAATACTGGTTGTATTTGTGTCTTACAGCCAAACTTTACCATTTTTCTTTGTCATTTTTCATGTATGTTTTCATAGTATTTTAATATAAACATATATATATAAAAAATATAAATATAAAAAATACACAGACACAATAACTGTCACATAAATGATACCAAAGACTGAGATCATATGTACATCAGGAAAAAAATATGGTGCTTGACAGTGAGTTGAGCAAGTGCAATTAAGCTAGAAGTGAAACTGAATTCAAATAAACTTAGATCAGAATAATCAGAAATGAGATAGAGCTTTGACTGTTAAATAGCTAAACATGGAACAGATTGCTGTGAGTACATGTGGCTTTTTCATCTCTGATCTTTCATGCCTTTCTGGAAGATGCACAAGTTAGAAGTATTTCTTGCCTCCGTACAAATACAAGAGGATGATTTGTTGCATTGTCTCAATTTACATAGGATTAAACCATATGATTTTCTTGCTCCTTTGGGGTTCGATTCATGTGAATCTGTAAGTGACTCGGATCACAAGGACTTTTTCAAAATAAACTTACATGCGTGACTTGATAGCGTACTTCCTCATAGCTCTCACAAAAGGGAGACTTTTATCTTAAAACAACATAAGTAAATATATCTTGCTGGATGACCAGAAAATGAGTTAATAAATCAGTGCAGATGTCTAAAATACTTGTCATCGAACCATGACAGTTAAAATTTGTGCTGTTGATATCTTGAAGCAGTGATAGTACATACCTTGTATATACTTGGCAACCATTACAAATAGCTGTCAAAGTTGATTGCACAGGTATATAAGACTCTCCTTGTTATCCTGTAGAAGTTCATTTATCTTTTTTTCTGTTACAGGTGAAGAACATTATCTACCATGCAGTGAAAGATGCTGTTGGCACACTGAAAGCTCATGAATCCAAACTAGCTAGATCGTAGGAACTGCTAATTCCAAATGCCCTGTGAAGTAAGCCTTCTGCTCACAGTATATACAGGGACTGCACATGACTGCCTCTGCAGGAGCAGAGGCTTCTCACTAAGATCTGGTGTGGTCAGTACTGCACACACTCTTCAGCCACTGTTTTCTACGCTGCCTCAACACTGACGGTCTAATGGAAGGTCGCACTGTTACAAGCAGAATTCCAGATTCTAACGAAAGGTGCCATGTCCCTTTCCTGTGGCCTTTTTGCAAAGTGGAAGAACATGGAAACCACTTGGTGTTCCTGCATATTATGATTAGAAATGGTATAAAGAGTGTGGATGTTTTTTTTCCTCATGCCTAGTTAGTCTCAACAAAGTTAGAAGGGATGTGCTGGAGGTGGGTTGTCCTACTGCAGACCTAGTTGATAGCTGCTGAAAGATGGTGACCAACAGTAGCCCAGCTGCAGAAATTTAAGCAAACTTCCCATGTGAGATACAGGCCAAGGAAAAGAATAAAGCTATTCTCTGCACTCCCCTTCTTGTAGCCGTTTCTCTATACACTGTAGAGTTTCAGAAATAAAGGGAGAACCCACTTTTTTTCCCCAGGAGACTCCAGAAATAGGAGAATTGTGTATTTAGTGAAAAACTAGGTTTGTAGTGAAACAGTTAATATTTCATGAAAGTAGATATTTTTAGTATTTTTGAAGTACCACAACTGTTCCTGGATTTTCAAGGAAAGGCGCGTTACGTTTAGTCTTCCTTTCAATAAAATCAAGGAGTGATTTCTAGAAAGCAGTCCAAAATAGCACAAAAACAGCCAAAGGAGAGTGAATAGAAATTGACACCCCACCTCCCTTGCCCGTATTCCTCATTCATCTTCCTCCCTCTCCCTACGCCACCCTGCTTCCTCAGAATGAGAAGTAAAAAGGAGTATAAACTCTGTTCTCATGTGGAGATGTTGTACATCTCTTCCTGCACTGGTGACTGCAGGCAATAGTTCACCCACTACCAGTGCTAGCTAAAAACATCTATCCTTTCCAAAGTGAAGGAAAAGTTAACTTTCAGTGTCAACTTTGTCCAGAACTATTTTAAGTAAAATGTTCCTGCTTGATAGAACTGTATTCAGAATTTACTAATGTCAGCATTGATGCAATGGATTTCATTTTCTGGGTACATGGGGAAATGTATCTACCTTATCTCCAGCTGTACTGTAGTGCCACTCGCAGGCCTGTTAATATGTTCACGGTTATTTCATTTTTTTTAAAAATAAAAGTCATTTACTGTAAGAGACTAGGCAGTTTCTTTCAGACTTGTACACTGATCTTCCTGCTTTGAGTTTGTCTCAGCTTCTGCCTCTGGTAGTGTAGGCTACCTGTTAATTTCTTGCCCTGTATCTGACCAGAAGGCTTGAGTGTTTTATGCCTGGGGTCCCACATACGTGCTGGGAGCATACCAAGCTATCTGCAGATCCTTGATTCCCAGAGATAGTCTGGTAGAGGATCTGTTGTGTCATAAACAACTCTTGTGCTGTGCTCCCCACCTCTTACTATTTTTGTAACAGGCTGGAGTTCAGAGCTGCCCTCCCCACTGGAGATGTGGATGGGGTGGTGAAGGTTCCTTGGTTTCTGATCTTGGAGGTTGTGACAGCAGCAGCAGTTTGGTTCGCTGGCATGTGGCATGCTGGCAGCTTCTCAGGTTGGTTACTGGGTGCAAGTAGTTCACTCCTGGGCTTTTGCTGCCTTCATACCCTTGCAGCTATCCTGTGAATATGGGCTAATTCAGTCTGCTACAGGTGAAAACGATTATCCCAGACCCATGAACCGTATGCTGTGTATATCAGCAATTAGAATTAGATAAAGATCAAAAAGACAAAGACTTTGCGATGTATAATGCAAGAGCTTCAGTCACTTTCAATGCAGTGATCCACACCAGAGTTCTGCATCTCATGCTGAACCTTTGTTTGGTTTCAATCTCTCAGACGTTGTTTCTGTCTCTCGAATTTCCTCTTTTGTTAATCATACAGTCAACCTAAGGCAATATTCAGCCAAAATCAGAGGAATGATTTGCACAAAAATTTCACATTAATATTAAGAAATATGTAGCAATCCAGATTTTTGACCAGATGAGGACAGAAAGAATTCGTAAATTGATCTGGCAAATCAGTTCCAGTAAATTATATTTGAAAACTTTTATCCTTTATCTGGATTGTATGCTTCAAGAGATAGAGACTACCCCTTCTTTTGGCAAGTTTTTCCAAGTAGGTAATTTTTTTTTATACAGAGCACAAATTAGCATTTATGTAGATTCAGAATTCACTTATCGATTCTTGCTTATTTTCCACTACGAGAAGGTCTTCAGTTGATTAAAAGCTGTAATTGTCAGCTCTTAGAATTCTGTTCAACTGGTTAAAATATAGCTGTTACTGTACAGCAATTTCAGAATTTCTGAAATAGAATTTTCATGTATTGTGTATCTGCAAACATGCAGGTTTTTATTTATTAATACTAATCAGATACAGAAATATATATAGATCATATATAACATTCATGTATTTGTGGATGTATATATTATACATTACATGTATTATGTATTACATTTTATATATGTATATATATAAAACCAAGACAACTGCAGGGGTTTGTTTTGGCTTTGTTTTCTTTCAAATATGCTTAGCTTTATATGGTCAGGGATATTTTATGGTACTGGTAATTAGGCTCTGAAGCTCACTGCAAGTCTATGATGTTGATGCTGGAAGTAATTGTATTTAGAGCTTTTACTACATCCTTTGACAGAGTTGCAAGATTTAATTATGCTGTGTTTGAAAGTATGTACCTTCGTTAGCTTAGTTATTTAACTGGGCTTCAGAGCTTTTTTTCCCCCAAGAAGTGTTTGTCCTCTGTTTACCCCTTTGACCATTTTTATCACATCATAGTCCTTTTATGTGCTATTTCACTCTCCCAATGCATCTGTTTTCCAAGATGAAGGGTTTTGGACGAGAATCTTTGCATAGAACCTGCTCACGGTTCTTGTTGACTTTCTTGTGCCTGCTTTTTGTTCTGCTACCCCATTTCTGAGGGAAGATGATCCAAGCTACGTGCAGGGTTATAAAGTTTGTTCACCATGCATTTCTGTGGTGAGATAATGGTGTTCATTATTTATTTCTGAAACGTTCCTGTTGCTGCATTTCTTATTAGTGGTAAGCACTGAGATTTCCAGTAGTGATGACTGTGCTGTCTTTCCTGAGCAGCGACAGCTCATCTGGGGCCTGTCACATACACATTTGTACGTGTATGGTTAGGGCACTCTCAAGTGCATGTGTTAGGATTCTGTTTTAACAGGGTTTGTGTGAAGGGCCAGTACAAGCACTCACCTTCCAGTACCCACCAGAACCCACTAGTTCTATCATACTTCATATAGAGCTTATAGCAAAAGTAGCCAGCCGAAGTGATTATAAAATTGTTTTAAGATGTACAGTCGGTAGTTTTTATCACAGTATTTTCTAGTTACAAATTTTAAGGGGCAGCTGGTATGTTACCTGGAATGTAAGCAGAGTAAAGGAGACATAAATTAGAAATTTTTTGAGCAGAGGGAAAATAAAAACTTCAGTTGCATGTCTTAAAATTTAGTTTGCTGCAGTCATGACATTTGTTCTACTGAATGCTGTGTTGCTGTTACTGAATGGAACTGCACAAGACAGTGGGCATGCACCATTTTTTAATACTGGCTTTAAGTTCTGGCTGTCTTTTAGCCAATGTCCTGTGGAACTACAGACAAGTGGAAGCAGGAATTCAGGATTATATGGCTGTTGATCTGCCCAAGTGAATTTGGATTGCTTTCACAATACTGAAGCTTGGTGTGTGCTCAACCATGCAAAGGCATACTCCGCACTGTCATTCAGCAGTTTCACAGAGCCTTCAACAAAGGACACATTCATCTTTTTCTCTCAGTCTCAAATGAAGAGGAAGCAATAACGTCCCCTGTCTGAAGATTTCATGTAATTTCAACCCAACAACTCTTTCCTTTTCTTTGATACTGATGAAAAATGTAACAGTCTGCAAGGGTTAATTTTACAACACTTAATATTTTTTTTATTTATAAACTGTACTCTGAAGCAACTGAACTTGGCAACATAAACACGGGAAAAATTAAATACTTAATACGTCAAAGGTTGTGATCCATTTGTTGTTCCTCTGAAAGATTCTGAGACAGCCTCTTGTAGAACCTGAGGATGTGGAATCAGAATTGGAGCAGAGGAGTTAGATGTCAAGCAGTAATTTACCTGCAATACAAACAAGATGGAAGAAGTTCCCAGGCATGGATATTCTTTAAGATTATTGCTTCTATGTACATACGACTTCCCTCTTCCTCCTCACTTCTGATAGCCCTTTGAGAGCTCTCTGAGCTTCTACAGTTAAGAGATATTGGTTGAAGTCTTTGACACATGCTAGTGACTTACTCATGCATCAGTTGTATCTTGTGTAAGTATTGCTTTGGTGGAAAAGGAGTGTGAAACTACGCAGCATGTGAGTGAAGCATAGCATGGAAGCATCTGTGGACAATGCATCTTACAGGCTCTGGTTACTGGTAAGTAATCTTATCTTCTGATTGTCAACCTCAGTGTTTTCCCAAACTTAGCCCCTGTCTATCCGGGCTGCATAGAGCTGCTTGTGGTCATTCTCTCCCAAAGCATCTCAGAATCTGAACCTGGCTCACAGCTTCCTTTCTTCTCAATTGGTAGTGTCTTTAACCTTTTGAAAAGGAGCTGCAAGCTCCCACTAAGCATTTGAAAAATAACCTGGCAGAACTCATCTTACTTTTCTCTCTCACCTCTCTCATTCCCCTGCCTTATAAGAGCTTTTTATTTTATCTCTCTGCCTCTATATAGGCTAATGTGAAAATGGTAAAGTGAGTTTCAAGAGCTAGATACAAGAAAATACATCTGCTTCCCCTAGGAAGGTCTTTTCTAACTAAACAGCTTTCAATCACAAAGCAAAACAGGTAAAGAAGGGAAGTGTTCTCAGAATAATTTCCAATTCTAGGGCCTTACTTCCCACCATGTCAGTTTATACTGTCAGCTCGCACTTGTTCTGTGTTTCCTTTATCCCTTTCAGTGTTTGATACTCTTTCATTACAATCTACACCTTTAAGCTGCAGAGGGTGGGTTCCCATTGTGTTTTTCCATTTCACCTTTCTTCCTAAGACCCTTTTTTATTCTGCTAAACTTTTCCAGACGCAGCCTTCAGCCCTGACTGCTGTTCCTCTTCGTTACAGCAGCTTCTGTTTGAACCTCAGCTTCAGTGGGATCTCTGGATCTGATCTGGCATTGTTCTAAATGTAGCTTTGCTTAAGCTGCTTTACTCAAGGAGCAGTTAGTTTGATTCCCATGCCTTATTGTTTAGGCCAAAATAGATTGATAGGTACTCGATCACCTATTTTAACCATTCGTAGAGCAGAAATTGAGTTATTTCAGCAGTAGCATATCTGCTAGCAAAATATACAGCCTTAATTTGAAAACAGTCAAATTGCTTTCCTGGGTAGGTCTTAACATTTTAATTACACGGAGCTATACAATATTACTAATAATAAAAAGAATACTACTAATAAATCATTCTATTTTATTGTGACCTGCAGCTGGCTTTCTCAAAAATAGCCCTTCAGTACCAGTAGTTTCTCCTTGTGGGAAGGTAAGTTAATGAATTAATTTCTCATTTTTTTTTTATGATATGGAAAGAAATGGAGCTACTTATTGCTAACTGTAAATTGCTATCTTAAAATACCTTTCCTGAAGTTGCTCCAAAGCTCAGCGTGCTGCTTAACAATGAGCTGCCACTTAAGATGTTCTCCAGACCACCTGCTCTATTGATGTTCATATTCTGTTGTTCTTATCACTATGTAGTTCTAATGCACTGTAAATTTTCATACTACTCCTTGGCACATTAAGGAGTTTAAAACACTAAGGCACGTTTTATTTAGGTGCCACATATCCATCCTGAAGTTATTTAGCACTCCCGCACTCTTCATACATTGTGCTCGTCAGGTCTCTGAATTTTCTCTCTTCTATTTGCATCTTCCACTCACTTGAATATGAACATATTATTCAAGTACCAGAGCTGTTGCCATGCTGATCTCTGATATGAAACTTGCAGTTAGAATTAGAACTATTTTGGTAAAGGTTGTGCACGTTTGTGTTACTTGGATGTGTGAGAGCAGATTCCTTTTATTCTGTTTGTAGGTCAGTTATGCCATCAATGGTGCACAAATTGTGCAGTCCCTTATGCAATTATTTTG